TAAGGCACAGAAGAAGAAGAAGTAAATTGATGTATTTTTTCACTTGAATAAAATTGCTGTGTTCTTGTTTCTATTGTGTGTTATTTGTTAATGTTTTGAGGAAATCCAGTTTGAAAGATGATGCAATAGGTATCAAAAAAGATGATGCAATAGATATAAAAAGATGATGCAACGAGTCTAAAAAAGATGATGCAACAGATATAAAAAGATGATGCAACATATGTACTGAATTGACCCACTTATCCCCTCCAGGGGCTGCACTCCGTTGAACCCCCTATCCCCTCCAGGGGCTGCACTCCCTGACCCGCCTATCCCCCACAGGGGCTGCACTCCCTTGACCCACCTATCCCCCAGGGGCTGCACTCAGTTGACCCACCTATCCCCCTCAGCCCAAAAGTGCACTCAGTTGACCCAGCCGGCCAGACCCTTATACTACTGAAGTCCTCTAGCAACTACAATGCAAAGTCATTAACTTAAAGATCCCACTAGCATTTTTTGTTTTATTTTTTTTTCTTTTTGGCATATATGTTCGAAGTTACAAGATTTAATTTTGCTAACCTCATCAGGAAGTTTTGTACTTCCGGAACGTTTGGAATACCATGGTAACAGAGTACCATGATAAACTTCGTTGCAGCTCAGATTATGTCCCTTGGATACAGCGATGTCGCCATGATTAATTCCTTGGGGATAATTTTGGGCCAGTTCTTGAGATAGCCCAGGTCCCGCTGCCGAACCTATTGCAGCAGATGTTCCTGACGTCATGGCCACATCATGGGCAATGCTGTTAACAATGACGTTCACCTATTTCAAAAAATATATCTTTGAAATTTTGAGACTCGATATTCAAATTTTAGCACATTTCTATATTGTGATATTAAGTTTAAATCTAAGAATTTCAATATTTATTATTATCAGTAAAATTATGTCCAGATCTATAAATAAAAATTGATCAAAGAAAAATATGACGAAATTCACCTTTTGTTCGACAAGACTCCCAACTAGAACAGTGACAGGAATACCCCAACCTGACCAGAACAAGACTGTCGGGTCACAGTAATCGTGGCTTAAATGATACGAAACACTCATACTTTTAAGGCTTATAACTTATGCAGAATGATTTTCCACAGATATAAACACTTAAATTACTTAAAAATATGTATAACGCCTATGTAAATCAGATTTATTATCAAAATAAGGGGGAATGGTTTTCTATATTTTGGACTCTTTTTAAATGCAGGTAAAAAAACTTTATTTGTGTTTTTATATCTTAATATTTAATTAGTAGCTAATGTTGTGACATGACCCGGCGAGTTTTCCTTTGAAGTCAAGCATACTGTAACTGCGATACAGAACACTTTTTGTGGGCGTTTCTTATGCAAATGAGCAGAAACTGTACTGTATCTGCAAAATATCAACGATAAAGTACGGTTTATTTTTAACGATGACGGAAAGCTGTATCCGTATACAGACACAACAATCGTTCAATTCGCCATAGAACTCTTAGTATTTACTCAAAAACTGAGGTGAATTAAAAATAAAATTTTACAACGTAAAGGTATTATCGGATTCAACATTTTAAAAAGGAGTGGGGCAGTTAACAAATTATTACCCCCCCCCCCCCCCCCCCCCAAAAAAAAAGCGGAAAATCGTATTCCATGGGGGTAGACTTATAATCAACCAACACCTATGTGCGTCAATTCGTTACTTGTTGTTGAAATAAAAACCGTATGTATACAAGTTTAGAAAAAAAAATTTAAGAAAGCGAAAAAGAAAAAAAACTCAAATTTGGGATGGGGGCAGCAGTGAGTGCTGTATCCCCGTTTGGTTACTCTACATTTTAATGAAAAGTGAAGATAAAATACCCCCCCTCCCCTTTTCCTCCCTGCTTATTTCAATTTTGTATATGACGACCGGTGGAGGACATTGTCGGACATTTCTCTCAGAATCTACGATCTCCCGAAGCATTTTTGTTTCAAAAATATTCCCACATGATTCTCATATATCAAAATGTTTTGCATTAAATCGTAGCTTAAACTAATAAAAAAATGTCAGCGAGAGCTGCATAGAGAAAAAAAACCTGCGCAATCAAATCCAAATAAAATTTATGGAAAACAAATTAATTTATGCATCCCTTAAATAATTTTAAAATGATATATACCTGCACGTCCATCTCACTCGGCATTTCAGTTGAGAATGCTTAAAATGGGATACTAAATCAACTTTCTGCAAAATCATCTGATTGGTTGGGAGATATACACCCAAATACGCATGTAAATTAGTGAGGTCCTTGGAAAGGTCATGTCACAAGTCATTTAGAATACTCGTTTCTTACTGTATCAGAGATACAGGACGGGGCTCGGCTCGAGCTATCGCTCTCGCCTCAAGCCCCGTCCTGTATCTCTGATACAGTAAGAACTGGTACCTGTCTAAATAATACATGTCAATTTGAATATTTTTAATATCCCAAAGAATCAAAATGAATTTTTAAATAGCCACTGCACTCTCCAGCTATGAACATGTAGTCATCAATTGCATTCATAGCACTATAGACGCAAATGCTTCCACTAGGAGTGCAATTGCTCTATCACATTCGTGTAGAACAATCTCTACTAGATTTGGTACTAGTGTTGGGAAGTATATATACGAACTGTTTCATAAGAGGAATAAAAATAAGTTTTTAACAATATTCTTTGAAAAAAAAAGGAAATTCAGAATACTTAAAATTGCTGAATTATATCTTTAAAAATTCAATTTTGGTCAATGTATTTAATTGTATAATAAAACTTTTTAAAAATTGTAGAGAACTGTCATATTTTTATTTTTTGTATCATGCATATTTGAACAAAGAACGATAACTCTTCACACTTGGGTAAATAACATTCAGAAAGAAAAAAATTCTCTAGCTAGTATATCTTTTTCAAGAATGATTTCAGCTATTAAAAAATAAATAGAAGAACTAAAAAAAAATTATAGAAAAGCATTCTGGAGTAATAACCATTATAAAAACATTCTCATTTTTCATCATAGTGTTAAATTATTGATTTTCGTCAGAGGGTTTTAATAATGTTGATCGATGACGTCACAACTGCAACAAAACAAAAATGTGATGACGGCGCTGCTAAAATGTATCCAGATAACTGTGTTTGAGAGGGAAATACTTTAACTTTATAAATATGTTTGTGATTTATTAGAGAAAAGGAGCATTAATCAGGTTTACTGATTTTAAAGCCGTATGTTTTTCTTTACTGAAGACAAGAAGCTGCGTCCTTATGTAAGTCAGGATTTCCTCTGATATTCTTGAAAAAAAAAATCAAAGAATGCAAATATAAGTAATAAACAACGATTATTCAGTGAACATGGCATTATGAATAGCAATAGCTCTGCTGGCATATTTTCCATGATGCGCTAGCGCGCATCATGGAATATGCCAGCAGAGCAATTGTTATTCATAACGCCATGTTCACTAAATAACATTATTTTATTTCTTAATTAGATTCAGAAACTTCAAAAAAAGATACATAGCAGGTTCCAGTCAATATTCAACCAAGCCTCTTTCATTACGCCTCACTAAGATATAAACGGTAGTAAATCAGAAACAAGAGTACTGTGCAACAATATATTTAAAAAGTGGTGTAAATCAGATATGGATACATATGTATTCCATAGAACTTTTGGACAATTTGAAATCACAAGTTTTACCTAAATCAACAGCTTAAAAAAGTACGACTTTTCAATTTTATACACAACCTTCCCCACGATAAATTAAAGATCAGCCTTTTTAATATCATTGACAGCTGCTTTTTCAATACAAATGGAACAATGTGTAGGTTGTTTTTGGGGACCAGGTCTTCCAACAGTCTATTGGAATTCCCATGTGTGCCAATTGCGCCCTATTATTAGCAGACCTATTTTTGTGCTCATATGAAGTAGAATTTGTGCAAAAGCTTATGCGTAAAAAAGAGAAAACACTTGCCGTGGCCTTCAACTCGACATTTAGATATATCAACGACGTTTTGTTAATTAACAATGGTAATTTTTCATTCTTATGTCAATACGATATATCCTGTTGAGTTTGAGATAAAAGATACCACAGAATCTGACACATCTGTTTCATATTTGGATATTTTACTTCAAAAATACATCAATAGTAATCTAACAACCAAGCATTATGATAAACGTGATGACTTTAACTTTTCTATCGTCAACTTCCCTTACTCATGCAGTAAGGGTATTGACGTTTATTGAGTTTATATATCTCAGCTGATTCGATAGGCAAAGGCATGCTCTACGAATGAACAACTTGATGAAACAATAATTTCAGCAGTCTCGTTTAAAGTAATCATTTAGTAAGTTCTATGGTCGATAAAATGATCTCATCAGCAAATACAATTTATCATTGAGTCAAAAGCTGACTGACGTTTTTCAAAATAATTGTTAGTCCATTATTTATACACTGCATTGGCGACGGTTTTGCCGTTATTTCCCGATCACGACAAGGAGCACACGGCGGGTGTGACCGGTCGGCAGGGGATGCTTATTCCTCCATGGCACCTATTCCCACCTTTGATGTTTTGGAGGTCCTTGTTTGCTCTGCTCCTTTTTTGTTTTGTTTTATGGACTTCTGATCTTGAATACTGTTCTTTACCTCCATATCTTTCATTTGGTATCTTGTGCTATTCTAGATTTTTTTGGTGACTTTGCTGGTGTAAGAAAATGTAATTAATTTCCACATAATCATTGTTATGTGTGATCATTATATATAAGAAAGCTAGTTTAACAATTGGAAGAATATTTAAAAAAAAACAAAACAAATAGTTATGACTTCCAAAAATACATTTTTTATATTATCAACGTATTTTTAACTCCAAGAAGATATCAAATTACAGTCAATCATTTGCAAAGAACATTCTTAATCTGACAGTTAATTATTTTTCTCTCAGCAGAATTGATACTTCTTTATCTTAAAAAAATAAAAACGAAATGGGGTGTCACAACTCACATTTTGAACACTGGACCAGTCATGGCTTCCCTTATACACCACAATACTAATTTCCCTGATATTCATACGAGAATGTTTCGTAGTAAAATCTCGTATTGCTTTGACCATCAGTTTTGCTGTTTGATCACTAGGATAATGTAAAAACCCAACTCCAAGAGTTGGAAAAGCAATGGATCTTGTAAAATAGTTGTTTGCTGTTTCCAGACATTTCTTCATGAATTTCTCTAACGTCTAAAAATACCAAAATATATACCATGATTATCAATCGAATCTAAACAATTTACCAAAGAAAACAGGTGTGTAATACAATTAAAATTTTAAATGCATTTATCGTCATGTTTAAATTATAATATATTAAAAAATGATCATAATATTAAAATTACTGATAATGGATCAGGTTGACTAGTTCCCCATTTTGGCAGGGCTCCGTGGTACACAAATTTGCATGGAAGCTGATAACCTCCACTGACAGAAATGTCTCCGTATTCAACACCATTGGAATAATTCTGGTTTAGCTCATCTTGCATTTTTCTACCAGCAACTTTCAACAAAGCTTCAGATAACCCGCTATTGCTGAGTTGTAAGTTTTTTGGTCCACTACTCACTAACACATCTGCCTGTATCATTAAACAGGTAATTTCTTTCAAATTTGGTATTTGTACATTAAAGTTCGAGAGCATTGAGGTCATACGTCGGAACCGGGGGGGGGGGGGGCCCCACTTTTTTTGCAAATCTATATATTATATAGGCATTGAACATTGGTGTTTACCTTTTTGTTGGTTTAGCCCCCTTTTCAATTACCCCCCCCCATTTCAATTTGCTTCCAACGCCTATGGAGGTGGATCTAATTCAGGTTTTGGGTCATTTGTTTAAGTTTGTTTTGAACTAAAGAGTTTTCGGATTGTCTATATGTTTACAAATATTAACAATGATTTTTGAATCAATGCGAATCAATATGACTTGGAGTTCCTGAGGAAAAGAAAAGATTTTTGAGAAAATTAAATCTATTCATCGTGATCTCATCCTACTCCATCCTAACAATGATTTGAAAGGAATTTAA